TCCCAGATAAAATTGACGTTCCGAAAGCGTTAATGCGGTCCATTTCGTCGTCAGAGGTCATCTGGACAACTTTGTTGACGATCGAGCCAATTTAAGTCAACTTCTCACGCGGTGCGACGAATAATATGTGTCGACCTGATCTGAGCTGTCTTAAGTGCTAAATGTTGACTAGCCTTTGCCTAGGTAAAAGCCAAATCCTAGCAAGATGACCTTGGTCAGGTGTCCCTCAACACGTGCCCGTGGGTCAGAAGTGGATGTCTCGCACTACAAGAGTCAACACGTGCATCAAACAACGTTCCTTAGCACTCGAGCGGACACCCTACACTCGTGACATCAAAAATTGATGCCAACAAGATCTTTACCCTGATCTAAATTCCAAGCTAAGTAATAACCTAGTAGACTAGAACTTCTCTTAAGTCTAATTTCCTCGTTCCCTGTGGGATTGACATTCCAGACTCAAAATATGATATTATTGATACGACACAGAAACTTTCATAAGCTCCCAGAGTGTGAATACACCTAGAAGTGGGAATCAAACCACACCTGGTCAAAAGACCTATGGTAGAGATCGTTGTTAACTAGCGTGTAAGACAATGCTTGTTGTTTCTTTTGGTTCGAAGCAGAACTAAGTTATGGTAATCTTCTAGATAACAAAATTTCAATGATCGGTTGTCGCCAACCTTTTTCTTCTTCCTTTTTGGTAGCTGCTACTATCGCATTGGCACTAATTTTGTAAAGGTTGTCCATATCTATTTAAGAGAGAACTTGTCGTCCTTAAATTGAAATCTGAACATGGTCATCTTCCGAGCAGGTGAACCCCTTTGCAAGATTTGACAAAGCATCTGCTAGTGAGTTGTCTCACCTCGGAACTCGAAAAAACGTAACACTTGGGATTTATTCCAACACTATCATTGTGCAGTAGAAGTATTGTTTAAGCCTTCGTTTCATTATTTTGTACTTTCTAACAACTTGGTTGATGATAAGCTGAGAATGCAAGATGTCGATGTCTTCGATTTCCATTAATACTTTAAGTTCCTAGCCAATTATAAATGTCTCATACTCAGCTTCATTGTTCGTGCAAGACTCTGTCAAGTGGTAAGAGAATGACATCATTGGTTGGTTTAGAGTGATGAAAATCAATCCTACCCTTGCTTTGCCAGGTACGATTGTTTGCATGTTTTTGTCTTTATAAGAAGATAAAGCTCCATCAAAGTATAGTTCCCAACAACGAGTGTGAGAACCTTCGATCTCCAATATTTGTTCATCGGACAAATCATCGTGGAGAGGGGACCCTACCGGTATCGGGAGTGCTGCTAAGAAGTATGCTAGTATTTTTCCTTTGATGACACGCAAAGGTACAAAATTTATGCCAAATTGGAGTAGAATCATCGCCCACTTAGCCAATCTTCCAGAGAGCGTCGGCCGAGTCCTAGGTATTGTAGAGGGTTGACTCTCGAGATGAGAGTCACCGTATGAGATATCATGTAGTGCCTGAGCTTTTGAGTGACTAAGATCACAACTAAACAATGTTTCTCAATTACTGGATACCTTATTCAGTAGGAATTAGACGATAACTTAGGTAGTACAATGCATTTTCTTTACCCTCATCATTAACTTGGGCTAGCAAGGTTCTAAGGGAGTCGTCTAAAGTCGCGGTGTAGAAGATCAAAGGCCTTTTCGAGATAGGGGCTGCTAAAATAGAAGGTGTCATTAAGTATTGTTTGATGCTTTCAAAAGTGTGTTGGCATTTACCATCCCACACAAATTTGACATCCTTTCTGGTTAAGGCAGTGAGAGGTTGACACCTACCTGATAAGTTAGAAATGAAATGTCTTATTAATGCCAACTATTCTTGGAAATGTTGTTGTTAGGTCAAATTTCTCGGAGGAGGAATATTTAACATTGCCCTAATCTTAAGGGGGCCAATTTTAATCCCATGACGATGAATAACGAATCCTGAGAACGTCCTTGAGGTGACAGCAAAGGCACAGTTTAAGGGATTCATCTTGAGATTAAATTGTCGCAAGCATTCGAAGACGATTCTCAAATCATACACATGGTTGTCCTTTTGTCTTCTCTTGACGAGTAAGTCATCCGCATAACATTCAACGAGCACTTTGAATGGTTGAGAGGCAAACCGATCAATATACTAGAAGGATTACAACAATATATTAGGGTTTTCAGTGATTTCAAATAGAGGAGAATTGTTGAAGTTGTGTGTGTGAGCTCTAGATAAAAGGCTAATAGGGTTTATTAAAAAAACATACTTATTTAGAACTCAAAAGATGGATGAAAGAGAAATGTAGAACCACCTTACAGTTTGGACACTTCTACAACTATAAACGAGATCTCCAAAGTCATCCACCTGGTATTGTTCATGGTGAAGAAGTGGATTATCTACCTGTTCTTTTCAAATACATGATTAAGAGACATGTAAAATGGCATATCATAACGCCTTCTTCTATTCCCTAAAAGTTACATATAAAACATTTATGAGAAAAAAGATTGCATTCCACCACACATTATGAGTGCCATTCTATGCGATCTCGCTTATGAGTTAGTGTTACATTGCCTTTGATAAGGAAATTAAAATACTCGGTCCTCGAGAGTTCAATGGAGCATACATCATTCCCTTGTCCCGAGGTTCAGTATTAGTTATTAATGAGAATTGAGCTAATTTGGTCAAGCATTGTGTATTATCTATTCCTCACAGGAGAATCTCTATCACTTTTCGAAAGATGCGGAAATCCAAACATCCCTAAACATCCCTAAAGCTACACACCAGTCCCCCTAGCACTTTGAAGACAAGAATCTTATAGATATTATAATTTTGACAATGATGTCATAAAACTATGCATGAAAACCTACATTTCTCTTTTAAAAAATAATTTTAGTGGCATTGTTGGTTTGATGTTAAAGATTTCATTGGTATGTATGTAAATACGAATGTTTAGGTGTTCGATATGTAAATAAAATAGATTTATGTGCTATGTATGTAAATGTCTTGAAGATAAAAATACAAGCATGCAAATATATGATCAAAACCACAAAATGACTGGCTTATACACACTCCAAAATACCAAAATCATAATATACTAATGGACAACAAGTTGATCAAAACTATAACTAATTTTTGTGTCATTTATATTTAGGCCATCTACATGATATTTTACATGAAGTATTTTAGAAGACTTACATGCTTTCATTTTTAAATCTTAAAATTTAGAACTTTGTAATTTATTAGAGAATGGATATTCACCACCTTTTTTTGTATAAACAATATTTCTTTTGTTAAACCTTCTTATTTGTGATTTAAAAAGGATTTAGTTAGATGAATTAAATTTAAAATCATTACATTAATTTATTCTGTTTTTAGACCAAAAGAGTTAAATTTCAATGCTAGTTGGCAAACCAATAAAAAAGTATTTTAAATCTCTTGCTGCTATGTTTAGAGAAACAAGAAAGACAGGTGCAAAGATCAACAATGAGTCAATCCTATGTAGATAAAGAAGAATAAAACAACAATTGAAGAAGAGAACAAAGATTCAAATAGCCTTAGTAGTTCAAGTAAAAAAAAAATGAAAAATTGACACTGCATTGACAATGATGAGATAAATAATTTCTCATATGAAGAGTCACATATCACATTTGATGAATTGATTAAAGTTACCAAAATTTGTAGAGGGCATGTTGGCTCTAAAAACAAATCAAAATCTTTAAATTGTCTCATTTATGTTTAAAAGAATGAGAATAAAATTTTCAAACATGACATTGATGAGGCAAATGATAAATAAGATTTATGTTCTATGGTTAAATATGAAGATGAAAAGACTTGGGCAGAGATTAGCGGCATAGCCTCTATGTAAAATAACATTATAATAGCTTAAGTGGTTTCTCAAACAATTTTGACCACCACCAAATGATATATGATGCTCGGTTAAAGCGGCAAAACAAATTAAAACACACCTTATACGATGTGAAACCAAAGCAATCATGGTCACCCATCAAACTAAATGGCGTTAGGGTATGAACGAAAATAAAAACCATAGGTTTTAATTTTCTCTCACTGCCTTAAATTTTTTTATTTGGTATGCCCCCAGAGTAATTTCAATAACTAGACTAGCTCCAAAAAAAGTTAATTGCAAGGATTAAAATTTTGATGAAGAGGAGGATGAAGAATTTAATTTGCAACTTTTGAAAAATAAGGAACAACTCCTTTGCAAAACTTTTAATGAGTCTGAAAGTCGATGTATACTATTCAAATTTCTAGTAGCTACCCTCTTCTCTCACGTCACAAAGCTCGCTTCGCAAAGCTCGTTAAATATTGATTCAACTACAACAAAGCTCGAAATATCTGTCAAACTCACTAAGATCTCATAAATCTCGATTGATCTTGCATGTCTCACATCCAAAGAACAGAACTACAAAGCTCGTTAAGTATTGATTCAACTACAACAAAGCTCGAAATATTTGTCAAACTCACTAAGATCTCATAAATCTCATTTGATCTTGCATGTCTCACATCCAAAGAACAGAACTCAACCACCTCCATGTTCACCTCAATAAGACTACAACCAGGTGACTTTCCAACATCCATTCTTCTCAACACCTTCTTCAGTCTACCAACATCATTCCATCTTCCAACATCACCATAAATATTTGATAGCACAACATAATTGGCAGCATCATCAGGCACGAGCCTCACGAGTCGACTCATAGCTATCTCTGCTAAATAAATATGCCGCCATGCTCGACACGCCCCAAGCAGAGCACTCCAAATAACATCATCAGGCTCCATTGGCATCTCCTTTACAAAGCAAATGGCGTCATTAAGCAAGCCAACTCGACCAAGGAGGTCCACCATGCAGCCATAATGCTCAATCCCTGGAGCAACAGAGTAACTCGTTGTCATGTTTCTGAAAAATTGAATTCCTCTCTCGATAAGACCCATGTGGACACAGGCACTCAGGACTCCAACAAAGGTTATCCCATCAGAATTCCAAGTAATGACATCTCTCTTTTCCATTGCAGAGAACACATCGATTGCACTGTTGATGCAACCACATTTTGCATACATGTCGATGAGCCCATTTTTTATGTAGATGTTCCCATTGAATCCGTTGTTATTAGAATACAAATGGATCCATCTCCCCCAATCGAGAGCACCAAGCTTCGAACATGACGATAACACGAGCAAAAGAGTAGCATCATTGGGCTTAATATTTGTTGAAATAAGCATTTGATGGAAAACATTCAAAACATTCGAGAACTTACCATGTCGAGCATGCCCTTGAATCAGCCCATTCCATGAGAAAACATTCTTAACAGGCATGATTGCAAAGAATCTCTCACAAGCTCCAATAAAATCCACATTGGCATAGCCAAACAACATAGTATTCCAAGATTGAACATCACGCACTGGCATACTAGCAAAGAGCTCCTCTGCGGTGGCAATATCTCCATGTTCTATGAAAGCCGAAATCATGGTGCCCCATACTATCACATCATGCTCTTCTAACTGATTAAAAAGATTAAAAGCATTTTTCATATCACCAACAGCAATATAAGCTCTTATTATAGCAGTCCACACAACAACATTTCTTTCAGGCATATCCTCAAACATCTTATAAGCTAGCCCCGCTCCTACCTTGATTGCATACATTTCAATTAGGGAAGTTCCGACAAATAAGTTCGATCTGAGGCCAGTTTTTAAAGCAAAACAATGAACCTGATCTCCCGCCATACGGGCAGGGATCATTGAACAAGACTTGATAACAAAAGGAAAAGTGAAGAGGTTAGGTCTTACATCCCTCCTCTTCATTTGAGTGAATAGCAGCAGCGTCTCTCTGTGGAGGCCGGCCTCTGCGGAGCCTTTGAACATGACGTTCCAGAGAACGGTGTCCGGTTGAAGAATTTGATCGAACAGTTGACGGGCGGATTGCGGATTGCTGGATTCAAAGAAGGCAATGGCGGATTTGGGAGCAAGGCGCCGACTTTGGAGGAGGCCATGGATGATGATTTGGGATTGGATTTGGAATAGGTGATCAGAAAGTCTGCATTTGTGGAGGAGAGAGAATAGACTCTGTTCCACAAATCTATAAGGCTCGTTTACAGATGGAAGCATGTGTATTTTACCGTTCGAATTCTGCTCGTATAATAATATGAGTAATATTATCGAAGTAGAAGAAAAACGGCGATTATGAGCTTAATGGATAAAATTACCGTTCTGTTGCATAAATTTGGCATAATTTTAGAAAGGTGCTCCCCTAACTATTTTTTTTTTATTCAGAGCTTAGAAAATTTTATGAATATAAAACTTCTTTGTGATAGACGGTTTTAATAAAAAAATTATAAAAATTGACCTTTCAATGGTCGTTTATAATAAAAAATTATTTTTATTTTAATAATTTAAGTATAAATTTTTAGTAAAGTATAAAGGAATAATTTTGAAAAGTAGCTCCTTTAGTTAATTTTTATATTATTAGGAACTTAAGAAATTAAAATTATAAAAAAAATTGTTAGTTAAATGCATTTTAAATAAAATTGACACGCACTCAATATATTTTTATCATCTATCACAAATTTTGAGACATGACACATATCCAAATATTTCAACAAATATTCAAATATGGATTAAAAGTCATTCAAAACTTTGATTTCAACAAACTTACTGTAAAACTAATCGGCTCGATGAAAGACCAAACGATAGTAAAAATGATTTAATACGAGTCAAATCAAACCTACATCAAGCCCCTAAATCACTTTTGGAAGCCTTACGAGCATAATTGGAAGGTAAAATGGATTATGAATATGAAATTATTATATTATAATTGTGCATCTCGATAAGATGAATCCAACGAGTATAATATCACTCATTTTTTACTTCATTAAGATACTAAAGTTTCCATCAAACGCTGCCTGATCAAGTGGATCTTTCTGGGTTATTTGATCAATAATGGTCTAAACTTCTTCTTTATTTGCAATATTGACTCTATAAATAGAGCCCCACACCCCTCATAAGGAGGGACTAGACACTGAGTAAGAGGGATGCCAGAGCATGGAGAAGAGAGTTGAAGTCCATGATCTTGGACTAACGAATCAGCGTACCTCTCCCGTTTCTGCAAATACTAGCCACTGTTGACCATCGTCGGCCTTCTGTTCCTGCAACCGCCTACCACCATCAACCAACTTCGACCTCCTGCACCTTCAACCACCATTGACTTCTTACTCATACAGCTGTTGGTAAACTCATGCCCCCGCAACCTCCGACCAACTCCGATTGCCACCGACCAACTCAGGCCACCACCGCAAGTGCCTACCGACTCCAATCGCCATCGCCTCTAGTCAGCACCATTTGTCTCTGCCCTCCAACCAACTTCTGCAACCACCGCCCTCCGACCAACTTTTGCCGCAACCTCCTCTGAGCAACTCAAGTTGCAGTTGGCCACTGCTGACCATCGACAACTGCCACTTACTCCTTATAATGAAGTCCCATATGAAGTCACAATGTGCACCGCGGAACCCTGATGTATATTGCGAAGTAACAACACACCCAAGCTATAGAGACCCAAAGTCTACCTGATTGTAAAAGTAGTTGACCCAACTTGATTAAAGTCCCCTTGGAAGCAATCCATGAATTGCATTGTCTAAGGGAATCCCGTTAGCCCTAAATGGGACTTATACTCACCAATTGAATAACGAAGATGCCACAAGAATGGAGTAGGACAGAAAGGTTTAGCTATAAAGCCAAAACGCTCTCACAAAAAACTTCTACCCTGTCTGGGTCAGGGATGCCTTTAATACCATAAGCGTATTAGAAAATCACCTAAGTAGAAATCTATGTTGGGCTAGCCAATTGAAGGAGTATGAGGGCTCCTCATTGAGACATGCATAACGATGTAGTTATTTATAATTAAATGTGGAGGCCCTATTAAGGATGATTTGGGAGATAGTTATGCATTACAACCCATTTTAAAATAAGCCCGAACGCCATGCGAGAAAGTAATGCTCCTTTTAAAATTAAGATAAATTTTTTTTATTTATCTTGATTTTTTTTATTATTAGGATTTTTAAAGAGTGATTTTGGGTCATTAATGAGCCTAGCTTACATTCTCGTGGGATTCTCAAACAAACCACAAGCAAAGAAAAGTGTAAATGACAAGCACATTGCGCAAATGTAGACAAGCCAAATGAATATATAAAAGGCATGGTGTTGTTGGGTCTGCAAGATATCCCAAAAAGTAGAAAAATGTGGTTAGGTTTTGTATATACATGCTTGATCCTAAAGATATACAATAATAGAAAATTCAATTTACATTGCAGGACACCAGCAAGTTAATCCTAGTCCTCGTCATGCGGTTTTGTGCATCAAACACCTCGAAACTCGTACCCGAACATTATTTCCAATACACACTCCCTAAGGAATCTAAGCAAAAAATACATGTAAAAGTCTAAAAAAGACTCAACCTACAACACAACAAGTTAGTATGTGTTACTTACATGCAACACATAATGGCCCATGCTTGGTGGGAGGAGAGCTTAGCAGCATCTACAGAAACTGTTAGCCTTTAAATCATTACTTGCTCCTCCCTTCTTATTTATTTAATTTTAAGCATGGCCCCCTACATAGAAAATTGTCCTTAATAATAGTAGTGTGCATGTCTCACACCCAATAAACACACAAAGCAACAAGGAAAGGTTGTCTGGCTAGAACACAATCCAAAGAGCAATAACCATGACATCAAAAAGTATATATAAGCAACCCAGTCCTAGACTAGCAAAGCATCTACCACAGCGTGTCCTAATCACAACACTAAAACATGTGTGAAGTATAGGCGTGAAGGTTATCGTGTAACTTCCACGGGGTCGCCAACACTAGCCCTGTCCTCCTAATGATCCAAGGTGTTTAATGAATATCACTCAAGAATTTTAAAGGAGTTGACCTCACTTATGATCTAGTTTTTCAAACTGCATGGCTTTAAAAAATATAAAGAACTATTAAATGTGAGTCTGTAATATGAAAGGTGGCATATACTTGAGCATTTAGAACCTTAGCATAGTCATACGTGTGTTAATCTCAATGCAATAACTCACATTGCTCACCAAGATTTAATCGATAAACAATGCACATTAAAGCATTACAACCATGGGTTACTCACTTAATTAGTTTAATTTTTTATCAAGACACGAAGGTAATGCACATGCAAAATCCAAAGCCTGCTCTTCAGGAAATTAATTAAGGAAAAAGGAGAACTCCCACGGGAGGAGGAAAAGCAATAGAAGAAGAAGAAGGAGAAGAAGAGGAAAACCCTCTTCTTCCAAAACCTAGCTCCCCAAAGAAATCAAAATTTTATCTCCCCATAATTTCCTTATATATTTCTCCCTGTTGTGTGGATCAAGCCAACCCCAAAACGTTTTTCTCATCTAAAAGCATGTGGAAGCCTAGGTGCTAGGTCTTGGCACCTAGACACTAGGACCTAGCGTCTAGGAACCATGTTCAGGGTCAGGTTGCCTACTTTCTACCTTATCAATTTTATACTGACCGATCAGACTTGTTCTAGGCTCCTAAGCACCAATTATGGGTGCTTAAGCACTAGGTCCTGACATCTAGACACTAGGATTGAGCGTTTATTTGACAGGATCTTGGTTTTAAGGACTTTGGAGTTGTTCTAGGCGTGTTGTTGCTCTAGTCTGGTGCCTAGGCTCTGGTCTGGCTTGGTAAGCCCAAGTCTCCACAAAATATGTTTAGAAAATGGTTTTATCAATCTATAAGTTATGAGAGACTATGTATCATTGAAATATGGTCCCATAACTTCAAAAATGAATATTTATAGGTTTTATATTATATATTTTTAAAGTCGATGGGCATCTTGAACCACTGTATAGGTGTAATAGAACGAACCCAGATTTTATGTAAAATTTTAATGGAGGAGTTTTATGACTTCCCTTGGCAATGAGAGGTTATGAATGGATGGGGAATGACCTTCAAAATTCACAATGATAAACAAACTTATTCTGTAAAGAAACTGATGCCACCTAATGACAAGCTTTCCTAAGTAAGGTTGAATCAATAACAACCTGAGTTTTGTGACAAAAACACTTATCGGAGGCCCTAATTGATGTATAGGACTATGAGAATCAACATATACATCAATACAAATTTTGTAATGCTCAAGTTGACATCTTATAATTGTGACATCAAAGATTGATGCCAACAAAGACATAATCACAGTCTTAATCAAAATTTTTCTTAAGTGATTTCGGTCACTTAACATGTAATTAACTAATGAGGCTCGTGCTTATAGAAAACTACCAATTCAAACAATCTAAATCCTATATGATCCTCAGATTAGATAGGGGACACATATGTTGTGGGGATTTCTCTTATGGGATCCAGAATATATCTTGAAAGACTTCTTTCAAAATGATTGGATACGATATTCTAAGAATAATATATTATATTAAAAAATAAAAATATTATCGTAGAATGGATCTAATCATCTAGATGAGAAACATCTTTGGGATTTATTGATCTGTGGAACTAAGACTCTTCCCTTACCTTTATTGACCTCATTTTTTATGAGGTTAATTCTTCTCTTTAGGAATCTAGGATCTAGCCTTAAGGACTTTCCTATGGACTTTCTTGGAGAACTAGTGAGGGAATCTACACCCCACCTAGAAATTCTAAACCCTTTTGTGAGGTCTCACCTAAGTGGTCATAAGCCCCAAAATGTCATTTGGGATGTCTAAGACCGACATATGGTGAGTCAAGGGTGAGTTCTTGTAGGTTCAATGCACCTTAAGACAACCCTGGGTGACTCAGATCTGGTCTCAAACACACCCACACGCACTCAAACCCATTAGTTCTTCACATACCCTAAAACTCTAAAATCACTTACACTAGACCCACCTCCTTAAGCCTTTAAGAAACTCATATGGGTGGTCCCAAGCCCTTAAACTTTGGCTAAGATGGCTAGGAACAACATGAGGAGATTCAAAAATGACTTCTCATTTGGTGTACTATGCTTCCAAGTTGGCTAAGCACGACATGCATGATCATCTTACCCAATTTTCCCAAAATACTCCAAATATCCAAAAATACCCAATATTCGTCAAAATTTAAACTCCTCACCAAAAATCATTTCAACCCATTTTAATTTGTCCAAATGAACCAAAAATTACCAAATTTCCA